GTTCTCTCACTGGTGGTTACTGTGTGCTTGGCTGCCCTCTGTTGTTGATTCTTGTGTAGGCCTTTGCGTCGAAGCGACTCTGACTGCAGTATCATGCTGGCGGTGCGCCACGTGCTGTTCGTTGTTGCCCTCCTGCTGCTGTGCCGGATTGTGCCGGCTGTTGGGGCGTCAACAAGGAACATGAAAGAAGTGAGGAAATATCTCAGAACTGTAATGGAAGTTGCACTGGAGGCAAAGCAATCTGCTGATGATGCATTCAACAAGGCTGAAGATGCTATGAATATGACCGAGAATGCACAGGAGGCTGCAAGGACAGCAAATGATGCGGCTGCTGATCTAAAAGCTGCTGTTAAAGCAATTGATTTGGATGCGGGTGTTTCTGATGCAGTTCAGAAAAAATCGCGGCAAGCGAGGCTAAAATGTTTTGACGTGATTTCACGCCTCAATGCTGCTGCAGGAAAGTTGGATGAGGCAAAGGGTGCGGCAAAGATGGCATATCAGACCGTCATGTCGGTTAATGAGAGAGTCAAAGAGGAAAAAGACTTGGCAGAGGGTTCACTCTCAGAGTATGTAAAGTCGATATCTGGTTTTGCAGAGACTACGGGAACTGCTTTGTTACAAGTGGAGGTTAATGCCGCATCTTCACGGGATGACTCAACGACGGCTCGGGAGAGTGCAATGGAGGCGGAGTCAAATGCGAAGCAGGCTGAAGAGCATTCTAAATTGGTAGTGGGTATCGGAAAAGACCGTGCGAGTGTGATGCGCACTGGTTTTAATAATGAGGAAGCAGAGAGATATGCTTCAGTCCTAGAGGAATCCGCTGGCAAGGCACTGGAAAAAGCTAAAGCTGCAGCGGCTAAAGCCAAAACTGCATTTGAGAACGCTGATAAGGCACTTCAGGCAGCTCAACAGATGGTGGAGGCTGTAGAAGCCGCTGAGGAAGCTTTTAAAAAAGATGCGGAACAAACTAAGAAAGGGGTCCTGCAGACAAAGAACTCTCAGAAGGGCATTCCGGTTCTCCCTGAGCAACATGAACATCTCAACGAGGAGTCTGCCAGGACCGACTCGGACGGAGATAAAAACAGGCAGGATGTGCCGCCTTTGCCACCACAGAAAGGACTTGAGGGAGAACTGCATCAAGGTGTGCTGCAGGGGCCCCCGGCAGATGCACATCCCGTTGACCCGGCGGTTCAACGCGGAGGGGGTAACAGACACCGGCAGGATTCTCCTGCAGGGGTGTTAGAGCAAAGACTGAGCGAAGGGAAAGCAGACGATCCTTCAGCCTTGTCAGCGGCGCCTGGAAGCGCAGAAGATCTGAACAGGGTTGCGAAGTTGCCACACAAAAAGCAGACGAGTGGAAGAGTCCCCGATCCTCAATCGAATGTGGATCAGCATGTCGTTGCATCGCAAGATGTTGCTTCTCCTGAACGGATTACACATGGATCGCCTTCCAGCACAAGTCCTGATCGTGGTGCTGCCGAAACTCACAATGAAGAAAGGGACAATACCGATGAGTCCCCTAATACCGATGCAGAATCTACGGACTCCACTGCAGCAGGCGAGACACACAGTGCGTCAGGTGCCGCTTCGGCTACTGATGCAATGAATGCCCCACCAGGAGCGGCAACAATGGTGGAAGACTTTACTTCTAACAACGAAGGTGCCGATGGGAAGGCGATGTCTCCAGTGGAGGTCCCATCGAATGCGGCCACTACTGCTCCTACACTCGCACTGAGCGGGATCAGCAGCGGAGTAAGCACCAACCAAGATGCGGACGGTGACGGTCGCTCGGCTTGCGTGAGTGCGCTGCTGCTGCTGCTGCTGCTGCTTGCGGTGATGGTCTGCGTGGCTGTGGAGTGAAAGCAGCCTGGGTGTGTGTGCGTGTGGTGACGGTTCTTTCTTGCGTAGTTGGGCTGAGGGTTCTGGGCTACCTCACCGACTGAATAATACAGTTCTCTCTTTTTCGTGTTTTCGTTTCCTTGCTGACCCGTTAGGGGCGTAATGCTGCTGTCCTCGACGACACGCACTGTGCTCTGCGTTGTCTTTTGAGGACGTGTTTTCTTTTTTCTTTTCTTTAATTTTGTTTGGGCTTGGCTTTGCGCGGTGCTGTGCGCCGTTTCACTAGCTGTCTCTCCTGCTTGGCTAGTATCTTTCCTTAATGGATTCCTTTTAAATTATTGTCTTCATGCTCTGTGGTGTTTCTGTGTGTTGGTGCTGTTCCGCACCACGACGTGTGTGCATGCTACACTGTGCCTCTCTGTTCCTGTCGAGAAGATTCATTTCTACTGCAGTCTCACCGATTATGATGAGGATGATGGTGCACCGCCCTCTGTGCGTGTTTGCCCTCGTGTTGTGCTGGGCGTCTTTTTGCGTGACGGCTGCTGCTGCAGAGGGCGGTGTTGTCGGTTCCCTGCCAGCCACAGCTGCTGCGGGTATTGAGGCGAGGATGGCTGAGAAGGAGGCGGGCTTGAAGGAGAAAGAGAAGGAGGAGGAGGAGGAGAGTGACGGTCAACTCATCGTTCCTCGCTCTCCCCCGCACAAAGATGCTCAGGCTGCACTGCGGATGGCGAAAGAAGCAGCAATGAAGGCCAAGCAGGCATTGGAGGAGGCCAAGGTGAATGCTGATGCTGAAAACAGCGTAGCGACGAAATCTTTGCGTTTAGCTACACTGGTCAAAAAGGCTATCGGTGCGTTGAATGGAGTTATTGGGTATTCAAGACAACCCCCGCAAAAATCAAAACGAGGTCCAAACGAAGCGTATATAACGCATGCAAATGAAGTCAAGCGGGAAATTGTGGAGGTGCTTCTGAGAGCTGAAGAAGTAAAAACAAATGCTGGAATTACACTGCAGAAGACCAAGGACGCAGTGTCGAAAGCAGACGAAGCGCTTCAGCACGTCAGTCGGGCGGAGGCGAATGCAAAAGGTGTGGATCAGATTGTTAAGGATGCAGTGGGTGCTGCAAAGGCAACAGTGACGGCGGCAAAGGCCTTAGCTGACAATTGCCTTCTTCAGGTGGAGAGGGCATACAATACATCGGTGGACACGACGCAGGTAGTGACCGAAACAGATACAGCAGCGCGGGAAACTTTCAGCGTGGGAGATACACTTATTAAACCGGACAACACGCATAAATGGAGTGACAAACTGAGTGGTGTGTCTCAAAAAGCGAAAGCAGTCCATGACAGGATTCAAAGATTAATCCCAGTATTCGGAGATGTGAAATATTTTTGTGCCGAAGCAGCAAAGAGTGCCGATAAAGTGTTGGCCTCCATTGAGCGTCAGCTGCGGACAACTCCAACTGCTGTGAAAGAAAGTGTGTCTCCTCAGTCAAAAGCTGAGGCCGTGCTGAAGGAAACACTGCAGGAGTTGAAACAACTTCAGGAACAAGCGGGGAAGTTGGACGCGCCTGAGATTAAAGAGATTACAGAAGAGATTATAGAGGAGCAGCAGGAACAGGGTTCAGCGGTGAGGGATGAGCAGAGTCTTCCGCCACAATCTGAGGGCGGTGCTGCAGTAGTTCCTGGGAAGAAGGATGGCTCACGTCCCTCACCAACAGAGGCCACCACCGTTCCTGTGGCTGTGGCTGATGCTACACCTGAGCATGAAGCTACGTCTGCTCCCGCCGTCAACAGCTCTATGGCTGTCGAGGAGCTTCTTGCCAGCAATGGTGATGGCGGCAGCAACCCTGCGTTGGTGTATGCACCACTGCTGCTGCTTCTGGCCTGTGTGTCTCTCTGGTAAGACGTGTCTCTCTCTGTGTCTGTGTGCGCAGAGTGTGATGATGATCCCTCCGTAATTGAGCTGGGTGCTGAGGACTCTGCTCTCAATTTATAAAGATTCATGTGTTGTAGTTTCACTGCTTGCTTCATGTGGCCAGTCGCCAATAAGTAAACCCTGACGACACTCATTGTGCTCGATGTCGTTGGTGGAAGTTCTTTTTTTCTTCTTTTCCTTTGCTTGGGAGTTGTGTTTCGCTCGGGGCTCCGCATCTCCCGCTGGCTGTCTGCTCCGGTGGCTGACTCCCACTTCGGTGTGGGCCACACATTTCCCTCCACCGGGCGGCGGGCATACACCACACATGGGCGAATACGGGCAGGGGCGTTGTGTTCAGTGTGACTCACGCACAAATAACTAGAGAGATATCTAACTGGGCTTTTTCTTTTCTAGTTTGTGTTTGTTAATGCTTTATGGGGTGCTAATTTTCCTTTGGGTTGTGTGCTTGTCCCGCCAGTAATTCTTTTTCTCTACGTGCCTCGCGTATCCACTGACTTCCCCTGCGCTGTGCTGCTGCCCTCCTCCGCTTGGAGTGGGTGCGACTGCTCTGTGTCCCTCTCTCTTCCTTTGCTCTGCAGGCCACAGCAACCAGGGGTTGTATCAAGCATGACGATGTGCCGTGTGCTGCTTTGCGTGTGGGTCCTCGTGCTTTGCTGGTGCAGCACGCCCCTCTGCGTGACGGCTGCTGCGGCGGGTGTGGAGTCCGTGGAGAGAGGCACAGTAAGCAGAAGACGCCGCTGCGGATGCGGTGCTGGAAGCGCAGCTCGCGGTGCTAAGTGTAGAGGGTGCGGCGAAGTACGCAGGGGCTGCGTTGGGCAATGTGAAGGAGGCACATATGAGAGCTTCACCGAAAGAGGGAGTGTGAGCAAGGTGGCGGCAAGCGCCCAGGAGGCAGTAAGGAATTTACGTCATGGTGGAAGAAAGAGCCGATCAGGCAACGCTGTGGGAAAGAGAGGTGGACAGTTTGTCTCTGAAAGCACGAGAAGCCAAGGAAGAGGCGGCGAGTGCTGCTGAGAGATACCAGGGGCGGCGCAACTGGCCGATGAGGCAGTGAAGAAATGCGGGGAAGCAACGAGAAACACCCGGGCGGCAGGAAGACTTGCCAGTGAGACAGTGCAAAGCGCTAAGAAGGCAGAGAGTAGCGCTGAGAGAGTAAGTGAAAAAGCTGTGCTTGTAACTTCATCGGCTGGGTGGAGTCTCCAGCATGCGGATGCTGAGAAGAGTGCCGGTGCGGCAGTGGCAAATGCTGCGGACACAAAACAGAAGGCAACTCAAGCCGTGGTGTGGAGGCAAAGGCTGCAGCAAAGATCACTGGGGATATAGTGGGTGAGGTTGAGGGGGGTTGCAACCCTTGCGGAATCGGCAGAGAGGTATGCTCTGGCTGCGATGAATCAAGCCATGGATGCGAAGGCCGCAGCGGATGCTTGTATTCACTCCCAAGTGAAGTTCCAGAATGTGCCCGCAGTAGTAAAGGTGCAGGAGGAGCCGAAGGGACCCGCACGCAGTCCTGTCCCTGCTTCTTCTTCCTCTGCTCATTTTGTTAATGGTACTGAACCTGCACGGCTTAAGGCGGAAGGCCCGGAAGACGGATGCGCCGACAGCCCGTGCGGAGTGGCCTCTGTCTCCGAGTAAGGACACGACCGCAGGGACGGAAACTGTGGTGAAGGGTTAGAGGCTGCGTGGACGGCGATACAGTGGCAATGCGGACAGCAGCAATAGCCCTCTCTCTGGGTGTGTGCACTGCTGCTGCGGCTGCTTCTGTGCTGTGCGGCTGCGTGGCAACCCGCGTCTGTCTGTGCCCGGGGGACACTGATGCCGCGGTCGTGTTTCTGTTGAATCGCAGTGTCTGTACACTTAGTCGGTGATATTCGTATGTGGGGTTCAGTCGCTGTTCCGGTGTGAGCCTGCCGCTGATAAATGAACCTCCGGCAGGTACTCTCTGTGCTCTGCGTCGTTTGTGTGGATCCCTTTTTTGTTTCTCGTTGTGGTGAATTTCTGTTGCACCTAACTGTTTGTTTCTTGTAAAGTCCTTTCTCCTCCAACTGAGTCTTTTTTGGTGCTTCGTACTTGTCAAAAGTGCCATTCCGTCGTGCTGGGGGTATGCGTCGCACACGATGAAATACGGTCGGGTGCTTTGACGTGCGTTTGGGCATACACGCATCCACCCAGAGGGAGGTGCCTCACTAACCTTGCTGTTGTCTCCTCTCTTTTTTGTGGTTTTTTTTTGTGGTGACTTCTTTCCGGTTGGCTCTGCGCTTCTCCTGGTGGTGCGTTCTCTTCCCAACAAGTTGTTACTGTTGGGTTTGACTCCCCTTTGCATGGTGCGTGGCTGATGTGTCTGTTGCGCCCTCCCCTTCCCCTGCATGTGTGCGCTACCTTATCATCCCTCCTTTCCCCTCCTGCAGACCAGTGTGCTCAGCTGAGTTCGTGACGATGACGCGCTTCGAGCTTCTGGGCGTGCTGGCCCTTCTGCTGTGCTGCGGCTGCGCCGCTGCGGATGACCGGCAGGGGCTGCGGCTGCAGGCGGCTGCTGCCGTGGCGAC